CATCTACATCTAAGGCTTAACCTATGTAAGAGGGGGGGAAATCTATTTTTTTTTAAAAAAAAAGTTTTAAAAAAATTACACATCTTGCTCTGGTGACTGTAGCTGGCAGTGTGAATTGCCATTTATCATTTGTGCCAGACGTAGAAACAAAGATGATCTCTTAGTTGGCAACTGGTTGAAAATTTTAGATTCTGTAATGCCATTCTCTCTATCGCTATCACTGTCAATTGTAATCACAACAGAAGGCAATGCAGAGGAATTAGTCAGATTGGTAGACTTAATTCTTTTTGGTTTCTTTTTGTCATACTTTGATGTACACACCCCTTCATAAATGATTTCCACACTTGGGCTTCTTGACCGCTTCTTCTTCTTTTTGTGCTGAGTCTCTGTTTGAGGTTGTCTGTCTACAACGCTGGTGACTTTTGCACAAATGGTTGGATCCTTCGGTAAGGATTTCTTTAGAGCACTGCTTTCTCTTACCGAAGAGGCTTCCTCGCTACCTCTCTGGCTGCTCTCCAAGTGACGGGTTTTGTATTTCCTTTTCCCACCCGGCTTTTCCGAACGTCCTCTATCCGGATGCCTGGAAGTTCTCGATCTGCTGCTAGATGGGCTTCTTGATCTGCTGCTAGATCGGCTGCTAAATCGACTTTTTGACCGGTTTCTTGATCTGTGTTGTTCATAACTTCTGACTGCGTTTGGATTGTATAAAGCATATTCACTCCTTTTTTTGCTTTTGGAGTAATCGTCTCTCAAATAATAATCTGTGTCTTTAATCCTGGAAGTTCCACTATAGTCTCTGCTTTGAGATCGTGACCACCTTAAATCTCTCAATTCAGTGCTTTCACTACTTAGAGAAAGAGATCGGGAAGTACTCTTTTCTCGAGTTGATCTCCTTTTATTCTTTTTGTGCTTATGTCTACTGCCATCTCTTTTCTTTTTTCTTTTTTCCCTACTGCGATGCTTCCTCTTCCTTTTTGAACTGTGATGCTCTCTGTCAGAATGCTGCACATGCGATTCAGGTTTCCTTCTTTTTGATGAACTGTATCCATGACAGGCTTCCTTTGAAGAAAAGCTTTGCAACAAAGATGCTCCTCTGAATTTAGTCTCATCTTTTTCGCCCCTCTTCGGTTTTCTTTTTTCATTGGAGAGATACTCATTAATCTTATTAGCAATGCCATCTCTGGATCCAGCAGAAGATGGCGAAGCAGATCTACTAACATCTGTCGGGCTAAAGCTACAGAACTGGATAGGCTGCACTTTATCTGTATCTTCCTTTTTCTCATCATCAGCTGAAAGTTCAGAGTCTGAGGATAGCTGAACAAGCTCGGGGGTTCTCTCAGCTAATGGTTTAACGTAGTCCACAATTACACAATTGTCCGATGAATCACAACTGTCACCATTCACCTCTATATTTGCTTGTTTTGGCATCTGCAACCCTGTTCCATTTCCAGCAGGCTCTTCATCAGAGCTTTCCGAAGTGTTTAATGCAGTTGGAGACACATGCACTTGCTCTGGGTTAGAATAGGAGGGGCCTGGGGTTTCGTCATCCCAGGGTGCCTGGCCTGTGTCAGTTCTGAAAGCATTGCAATCGGGTGCCTGGGTTTCTGTTTCATCGGGTGATATTGTAATAATTGAAGATTCAGATGCACTTCCTTCTTCTCGTGATGGAGCTGGGCAATCATAATTTGCATGCTCATCATACGCTTCAATATTAAATGGACATCTGGCAAAATTTATAAATTCGTGTAAGAAATGCTCTGTGCTTTGCAGTAAGAAAGGCTGTAGTTCGTTGGCAAATGCCTGGCTTTCCAGGTCAAACTTAATCAAATTGTTCATTATTACATGCCGAACTATATTAATGAGTGATCCATGAATTCCAAACAGGACCGTGAGTTCACGTTTTAGCCATGGTACCAGCCTATGGAGGCAGGCAGGATTCCGGCGGAAAAATTCAGCCGATATGTCCCTATAACGCCCTCCATCTTCAATGCTTCTCACACGTGTGCCAGAACGATACAGAGCTTTTCGAAAGCTAATCATCTCTTGCTCTTGAATGTGCCGCATAAATCTACCTTCCAAACTAGCTTGTCGCCTTGATGCAAGCCGTCTGATCATCTGATGCATTTCTGCATCTCTCTGCCTTGTTGTCTGAGTTGATAACCCTTCAAACAAGATCCCACAATTTGGGGAAGCCATTGTCCTTCGAGAAGAGGAAGACCTCTGGGAATTAACACTTGCAGGATGTTCTCCTGTTAACGTAGTTCGGTAACGGAATCGCCTCCCATTAGGATTAGCAAAAGATTCTATTTCTGAAGGCCTCACAGAATGCACCTTGTAGTCATCTGCAGATCTCATGCTGTGCACGATGGAATGAAAGGGCTGTTTACAAAGTGGGCATTCTGCTTTGTTTTTGGACCACTCCAACACACACCGGTAGCAGAACCTGTGCCAGCAGCGATCCAAGTAGGCCACATTTTCAAACAGGTCCAGGCAGATCGGGCACTTAGAATCTGGAGATATTTCCTCTGGCATTGTCTGATGCAGCCTGTTGATGCCAGATAGGAGTGAATTATCCTTTGGGAAAATATCAGCCAGGGGTATCAAGCCCTGAAAATGGAAAAGAAATACAATAATCAATGTAAGCGTGCATGATTTGTATTGTATGTTTGTATTGAAAACTACAATGTAAAAATACCACCAATTTATCAGATTAAATTTGTTTCCTGCAAAGCTTATTTCATTCCTCATTCAGAGATATATTCTCCACTCCTAGATCAGATGGCCCCACACCGATGTTGTTTAGAAGAAGCACAATAACATTTTGTTAACCTTGGGTAACAAAAGTAAGATTCCTTGCTACCCTATGCCTAGCTTGTTTTAGCTTTACTTTTTATGATTTACTAACTTTAGTGAAATTTGTGTAAGCCATGTGAGCTGCCCAAAATCTTTGAGCTGTGGGTAGCATACAAGTTCAATAACCATTTATCAATTGTTCTTTGTAACTCATGATTAATGATTGTAACTATGATATATGACCTATGACCTATTGGTTGCTGTTTATATTGTGAGCTTATGCACTGGAGACAAATTTCTTGTGTGTCCACAAGTGTGGACACACTTGGCCAATAAAGAATTCCATTCTAATCTAGTCTATTTTAATCAGCAATGAGAAATCTGGGAAAGGATATGGCTGTCTGCATTAAAACCCTCAAAAAGCAGATATGGTATAAAATACTAACAGAGCTTCCTGAATCCTCGGAGTCAGAAGAAGATTGATTTTTGTCTCCCATCCGTATGAGATGCCTAAAAGCGCCAAAGGCTGGCCAATCTTCAGAGCAACAGTGCCTCTAAATTAAAAGAAGAGTCACTTGTGTCTCCCTTCACTATGAGATGCCCAAAAGAGCCAAAGTCTGAGCAATCTTCAAGGCCTCTAAGTCAGAAGAGCCACTTGCATCTCCTTTCAATATGAGATGCCTAAAAGAGCCAAAGCCTGGGCAGTCTTCAAGGCAACGATGTCCCTAAATCAGAAGAAGAGCCACTTGAGTCTCCCTTCACTATGAGATGCCTAAAAGAGCCGAAGCCTGGCAATCCTCAAAACAACGGTGACTCCGAGATTATCCAAACCGCCCTTTCTCGCCAGTACGAAGAAGAACTGAAGGTGGGGAATATGCGGGGCTGCTATTTAAGCATCCCGGCAGCCAATCAGCGGCCACAAAGGGACCCCGAGTTCGATTTGCCATTATCTATGGGGACGGGGGGGGGACGCGGGGGGGGGAGAGAGATCCAAAAGTCCCGTTGGCCGCGGCCGTTAAAAACGAGTCTCGGGGGCATGAAGACCCTCAGCCAAGGGCAGAGACTGACGACCTCGCTGGGCTCTCCCCTCCTCAAGGGAAAAGTGCCGGGAAGATCCAGAGTTTTGCCGGGCGCTCTCCTCCCAAAAGAAGCCCCTTACTTACCGGTTTGGACCGTTGGTGCCAGCGGCGACGGCCATTGGCGCCGGCGGCTCGGCTCCGTCGCTCTCGGGGGTCACACATGGACGGCGGCACAACCGAAGACAGCTGATGAGAAGGCTGCCGCCGCTGCGGCTGCGGCTTTGGGTTGCTTCCCCGTCCTTTCCAAACCGGATGCACAATCTAAGTGGCAGACAGGGGGAGGAGTCACTTTCCGGGTTAGAAGGGAAAAGGGAGCTGGGGCTAATTTAAAAAAAGATTTTAAAAAATACATTTGTTTTTCAACAGCAGCCCCAAGACTCTTCGCTTGGGAATGTCGCGCTCTCTTTCCTTCGCTAGTTAAAACGAAAAGGGTTCAACCCAGGCTTCCTTGGCCGCGCTAAAGCTTGTATAGTTCCATGACTTCAACTCCCATAAACCTCAGCGATCAGGACGGTGGCCTCAAAGCATCTCGGGATTTATAGTTCAAAAGTTTGTTGCTGTTGTAATGTGAAAGGGGATGTGTGTCTGTCTACATCGGTAGGTCCACATTCCTCGCAAAAGAAGGAAAAGGCCACGTTCCCAATCATTTTTTAAATCCATAATTATCAATATATCAGTCAGAACGAACATCAAAGGAAAAAGCAAGGCTCTTGACGGCACTTGACTCGTTCTTATTCATGAGAAAAACTCGGTCAAAATTGGAGCTCAAGACAGAAGCTGTCAACTTCCCTTCCTAATTATTATTAAATACATATGGTATCCGATTCCCAGCAGCTTTGGGCGATTTACAAACTCTTAAAAACAGATCCAAACAGGAAAACAACGCAAATGAAAACAAACGAAAAAGAAAGATAGGAACGATAACTAACCAGGAAGGGGGTGGGATGCAAAGAAAAAGAAGAGGGCTTCAATCATATTTGCCAAATACATAGGGAAGGTTCTTCTCTCTGATGAAACTTGGAAATTGTTCATTTCTATTTCCCTAAGGAAGTTTTTGTCCGTAGTGGAGGGGGGGTGCATGGGGGGGGGGAGACCCGCACAACCAATTACCAAGGCTTTTTTGGAAGAGGCTCCCCTCCCACCGATTAATTTCAGTTTATCAAAGATTTCAAGAGATTTCCACCTCTGCCATGAGTTTTGATAGTATGGTAGCCAGGGGTGATTCTACACACCTATTCGAAACTAAATTGCAAAGGATCCGGTTATCTTAAAATCCTTGATGTTCTTGGCAAGGAAGGGAAGGGGAAGGATTAAATCGGGGAGGACGGAATCAAAACAAGGAAGAGCGACATATTTTTGCTGGAGACCGAGGACATTTGTCCCTGCAGTTCGGAAGAATCGAAGAAACCGTCCCACCGTCTAATTTCAGGAGATACCTGGGAATCTCCCTTCCCGGAGGGGGGGAGGGGAGAAAGAGGAGGAAGAAGCTTTGACTCCCTTAATAAAAATGGCTCTCCCGACTTCCCTTTCCTGCCGCTCTGCGAACATCACTTCCAGAGCGAGTTGAGGGTGGAGCGCCAACGGGAGAAGCTGGGAATGGCGCTGGTAAACTGCCGAACTCTGGAATGGTTCTACTCGCTGGTAAGGCGGTGTTGGTTTCTTTACCTCCCGCCCACCCGGTCATTTCTTTTGTTGTTTGAGGAAGCGGGACACACGGCCTCTCCCTACAAAGAAATCCAGGGAGGCCGATTTACGGGCTCAATTCAAAAGCAAGTAGCGGTGGGGGGGATAGGCCCCATGGGAAGGTGGGGGGAACTCCTTCTCAACCCCTGTCTCTGAGGCACTTGCCGGAGCATACCCCGGCCTCCCCTTGCTTAACTTTCATGTG